GAGGGGGGGAGGAGGAGGAGGAAGGGGAATGGGGGCGAATGGGCCACGTGCGACGGCCGCCCCTGGCAGCACCCCGGCGGGCGGCGGCCTGGGGCGTCGCCGGCATCAGCATCACCATGCCCGGCGGGCAGGCGCCCACGGGCCACGGCCCCTGGGGAGGGTCGGGGGCGTCCAAAACGGGGCTTCGCAAAAGGGCCCGAGCTGAGCAACCGTCGTGATTTTCGATTTGCCGTCGGTGTCCCTCGTCGTCTGCCCTTCGAAGCGGAGTCCAAACGAAACTGGCCCACGAGATCGCCAAAACACCGCTCAGCTCGAGAACCCGGCGCGCAAGCCGCGGCCAGGGGCACGCGCGCGGCCCCGGGGACGGGGGGGCGAGGGGCGCGCACGGGAAAAAAACGAGGGCCACCAAACGGGGTGGGATTTCTCATGGCCCTGGCCATGAGATGCGAGGAGCCGAGAGAAAGGACAGACCGGACCGACAGACGGAAAGACGGGGGGGCGGAGTGGGGGGGCAAGCCGGGGGGGCGAGAGGGAGGGAGAGCGCGCAACGAACAAGGGCCAGGAAGCGCAGGGGCAAGGGGAAGCCACAGGGAGGGAGAGGGGGAGGGGAGAGGAGGGGAGCCGAGAGAGGAGCCGAGGGCTGGGGCCAAGGTAAGAGAGGCGGCGGACCGAGAGAGGCGCGCCCATGCGTCAGCGCATCAAATAAGTGGTCGGTTTCCTTCACGACGGAGGGAAAATCACGCCGAAAAGCCAGGCGAGGGATGAGGAGGAAGGGGAGGAGGAAGCGGGGGCGAAGGAGAACAAGCAAGACACCCTCACAGTCACTGGGCGCCAACCAACTCTTGACGCCCCGCCCGCAGCAGAGTCGCCGCGCGGCTGCGTTGGTCAGCGCAGACGCCGACTTCCTGAGGGATCCTGGCCAGCAAAGAGCGCGCGTTCGCACGCATCTAAGTTATGCTAAGGACTGATAAGGAAGTGCTGACATCGCCCACCGCCTCGCTGCGGCGTGCTGCGCAGGAATGATTCAAGCTCTGGAACACGTCTTGCGCCGTCGAGCCCCAGCCGCGGAAGGACCCCACGACCATGGGGACCAGGCAGATGCCTAGCTGCTCACAGCGTGCACCAGTGCCCTCGCCCCCAAGCTTCGCGCCCTCGCACGACGTCGCAGCGCTCAGCTGTCTGGCGGCGGCCCCTTGCACTGCGGACTGCCCGCGGGGCGACGTCACGGCGAAGTCGAGGGACAGGGGTGGACCGAGCGGCCATGTCAAAAAATTGATGTCGCCCGGCCTCCGGCGCGGATCATCCAGCAGCAGCCCCCTCTCCTCCTGCGCGGCGCGGAGGCCAGCAGCACGCGCGAAGGAGCGGGCCAGATCACGCAGCGCATCGCGCACCTTGACCGCGTCGCCACCCGCCACGCAGCTGAGCGAACGCGGGCACTGCGCATCCAACGCCCAGGTCGCACTTCGGGCACCAGTCGCACAAGCTAGAAGCCTGGTACCCCAACCACAAGCGCCCGGCTTCAACGCACTCGCAGCGCAACATTCGCTGTCCGAGGGCGCTGCACGGTTGGGCCTCTAGCCGCGCACTCGCGCGGGGCGCGCTCGTCGCGAGGGGCCCCGCCTCGCGGGCGCCCGGGCTTGCGGCGATCGGCTGGCCCAAGAGAACCTCGCCCATTTTGATCGACAAAGCTCGCTAGCCACGCAAGGAACCATCAGCAATCATATTCTCGCCAGCGCTGCGCAAATTGGCCGCTGCAGCCTGGGCGCCGCCATCGCTGGCCCCCCAAAGAGAAGGCGGCATCAATCCGACTACGCGGGGCCCTCGCCGCCGAGCGAACAGCAAGGTAAACCGCAGCGCCGCGTGAATTTCCGAGCCGAAATCTAAGCCCCCCCCCCCTGCTCAATGGGAGGGGGGCCCGCCGCCGCTGGCCATCGCCCGCCGCCGCGCCACTGCAGATCTGGAACGTCGACCGCGGAGCTCGCTGGCTCTGCGTCAGAGCACCGGTTACCCCATCAGGCCGGGCTGCCCGCACAATACGCATAAGTCTCGAGGCCCCCATGCGTCGAGACAGTAGCTCGCAGGCAACCTGGCCATCCTCCAGCAATCTCACCTCGTCGAACATCGCGGCGAGCTTCTGCGCTCTCTTCACGCCCGCGAACTCCGCGCAATGCTCCCGCTCGCCGATTGGAACGCCGAACAAATTGAAACAACCGTCTGCTTTCCTTTGGACACTCTCGGGGAACTCGGTCAGGTCGCATTCTGCGTCGCGCCCGGCCGTGGGAATGATCTGGCGCTTATCCAACTTCAACTCGAAGACCAAACTTGCCGCCGTCTGCTGGATCGGCTGCCGGGCCCGCAAGGTCACGCAGAAGTCATCGAGGTACCCGAGCGCGCCGCCCGAGGCAGGGTCGCTCTTCAGCTCCCGCAACAGAGGGCGAACAGCCAACGACAACGGGAGCGATCAAAGAGCCTCGCCCTTCTGGGCCCCCCTGGTGGACTCCAGCACGCGGCTGCCAAACGGCGGGCCCGAAAGGCTGGCGCAGCACCGCCCGACGCAGACCCCGGACAAGGCACGCGCGCCCCGACCTCGCGCAAAACGGCAGACCGCTGCACCGCATCGAACGCATTCCAGAAGCCAATCAAGAGCACGGCTTCGTTCGGAGAGGATCAGCGACGATTAACGCGCCGCTGATTTGCGCGAATACAAGTTTCCGCCCCCAGACGGCGAGCCACGCCAACTTGCAAAGGCCCAACCAGGCGCCAAGCTTCGGCCACGGCGCCCGCGCGCAAATCTACGCCGGCAAGTCGGCGGAGGACCCCCCCACCGCGATCGGCCGAATGTCGCTGTCATCCCCGGGCAACGCTGTCAACGAAGCCCAAGAAAACGTCACGCCCCTGGCCGGCACAGGAGGAGAATTAACACGCGTCTCCGCCCAACTCTGCGCGGCCCAGCGCCGTCGCCCACCCTGCTGCCGCGCGAGCTCGAGCGCCAGCTGTGCGCCGCGGAGCTCGTCGAGGCGCCGTCGCCGCGCGCGGTCGAGGGCGGCGCGCGCGCCACGCCCAGCACGGCCGCCGCCAGACATCCAGGCGTCGCGGCCGGCGAACCACATGGCCGACCCCCTGGGCGGTTGACTCACGCCGACGGGGCTGTTCTGCTGGAACAAAGCTGAATCCTGGGGCGGGCGAGGCACTGGCGGCGACGCAGCTGCCAGCGCGGACTGCGACGGCCACGCAGAGCTCGATCCACGCGGCGCGCTCACGCCGAGGGCCGAGACTGAAGGCGCGCAAGCACAGCTCGGCACTGCGCGTCGACGGAGACTGGAGCGGGGCAGCGGCGACTCGAGCGTTGCGGTCGCCTACCCAGTCGCGCCCCTGGGTTGGCCCCTGCGGCGGCGCGCCGCCCACGCGGGAGTGGCCCCGCTGAGGCTGCTGAAGCTGCCGGCGTTGCTGGCGCCCCCGAAGCCGGCGCGGCCGGCGGCGCCTCCCCCGCCGCTGCCCGGCGGCCCGGCGACGCAGTCACCAGGGCCGCCGGCGCTGCAGAGGCTTGCGCACGGCCCGCGAGGTCGGCCATCCCCCCGCGCAACTGGTCGCCATAATTCGGCCCCGCGCGGCGGGGGCGAGGACGACGGCGACGCCCCCACCCAGATCGACCAATGCCCGCAGCCAACTGATTGCCGCGAGCCGCCCGACGAAGAAGTCGGAGCAACCGCCGGCGCAAATAGCCGCGGCACGGGCGCCGCCAGGATTGGCTGTCCGCCGACACAAGGGCCAACGCTCAGCAGTGGATCGCCATGCCCGGCGCCCCCGGCCACGGGCCGAGGAGCCCTGGGCGCGCCCCCTGCCATCCAGACCGCGCGCCCCCCCAGCGCGGCCTGCCTTCCAGTCGGCCCTGGCGGCCCTGGCTGCCCCTGGGGCAAGCGGCGAGGACGAGGCGGCGCCGGGGCCCAGTCGCCGAGGGAAAGAGCGCGCCCTGTCGGCGGCGCCGGGTGCCATCGCACACAAGGCGACCCTCGGGGTCGCACTCGCAGCATTTGAAACGCACCCCGCCAGGGAACACGGGGTTGACTCGGGGGCCCGACCCCGCGCCCGAGGTCCTGAGCCCTCCTCCCCCCACGCCTCTGCTCCCCCCGAAGCCCGCGAAGTCCTCCCGGGGGCTCTTCTCGGACAGGGCGGCTAGGAAAGCGCGGCATTGTTGTTCATGTGCTTTTGCCCTTCCGTTCGATGGCCCCTCGAACGCGGCGCGCGGGGTCGCAGCCGTCGAAGCTGCGCCAGCGCGTTCTTTGGCGCGCTCGCAAGCCCAGAAGAGGCACGCGCCACGCTGCCCCACGGGAATGCCGCGCAACTCGGGATCGTCGGCGGCAATCTCCTCGCCAAACGGGTCGTCGTCGTCGGCGCCCGAGTCGATCCCCGCCGCCGGGCGCGCCCCCCGCGCCGGAATTGCCGCGCAAGGGGCAGAGCCTCCAGACACGGCCTCGACCGGCACGGGCGGGCTCGGCGACGATCCCAGCGAGGTAGGAGCCACGCCGCCCCAGCTGTGCCCCCGCGCGGGCGCGCCCGCGAGGAACGCGCGCCGTTGGGCAGAGTGGGCCGCCGAGGCGCGGCGGCTTGGCGACCCCTATCACGCGCCCAAAATGTCTCCGCCAGCCCGTCGCACGGGCGAGCCGCCGCGCGCGCGGGGGGCAGGCCGCGCGGCAGCGCTGCGGGAGCATAGCGAATTCAATGCTCGACGCGCCAACGGCGCGCAGCGGGGGGGGGGCCCGACCCCCTCGCAGTCGATCATGAGTTGACCATCTTACTGCGTTGGGTTGCTGAGGATGACGAACATCGCGAGGAGATTGTCGAAGCGCCCCCGCGGCAGTCGGTCGATACTCATCCGAGCCGACACTGCCGGTGCGCGCCCCTCCGCCCAGCTGGCCCCATCGGCCGGCCAAGCTGCGCGCGAGGATGGTCATCGGCGGCGCTGGGGGGCCGCAGATCAGGACAGCCGGCGGCCATTCGCCCACGCACTCGCGCGCCACGCTGGCAACGCGCGACGAGGCGATGGCCGCCTGGCGAAACTCGTCGAGGTCCATGTGCGCCGCTGACCAGATCATCACCTTGCGCGCCGATTTCTGGAAAGGCACGCGAGCCCAGTGCTCGGGCCCCCAGGCGCGGAGGTGGCGCGCGTTGCCGCTGCCACCACCCACGTGCATGCAGGCGACGCAGCTTGAAATGGCGCACCTGCCGACTCCGATACACGTCCTGGTGGTCCTGGAGGCCGGGGATCCTCAAGCGGCGTTGCGTGACTCGCTGAGCACGCTCGGCCTGGACGTGCTCCTCCTCGTCAGCGCATTGCGCGTCTGCTTCTGTCACGCCACGGTAGCGCCCACGGCACTCGGAGCATCCAACGACACAGTCACGGGGATGCTCTTCGCACGTCGCGCGGTCACTGTACTGAGCACCACCAAAAGCATGATCGTCGAAAGGACTGCGCATCGCGATCCCGCACTCGGGTCTGAGCGCGTAAAACGGAGGGCCGCGCCCCGAGGCGCGGCGCCTCGGAGCGATGGCGCCCCAGTCGCCATGCCCTTCACTGCATTACCTCGGGGGGGGGGGGGGCGAACACAGTTCCAATGCTCCCCAGTGTTCCCCGCTCGGCACCAGCGACAATCGCTGGGTGCCTCTTCTCTGTTCGCTTATGCCAGGGCTCTCGAGACACAGTCCCAAAAAGCTCGGGATCTTGTTCTGACACCGCAAATGCGACTGTTGTATCGAGCGACGAACTGCCGAACACCTGAGGCTATCCCAGCGGGCGACGGCATTGACAGTTTGGGGTCAGCGAGCTGCCTGGGCAGAGTCCGCGCATGCCACGGATGGGTCGCAGAGCGGTCCTTCTAGATTTTGGCGTTGTCCTCGACGGGGTACTGGTTGTTTACGTTCTCGGCCACTGGTCCTGGCGGATGGGCGGATGCCCCGACGGACCCTAGAGTAACGTATCCTGCCATGGTGAGCGGGCAAAAGTGCACGAATACGATGATGTTGAAGGCGGACGTAGAGCGGAATGTAGAACGGCACGTAGAGCGGCACGACGTGATGTTCCTACGGATGGGTTGGTCCAGCCTTGACGTACCCATGAGCGACGTCTCCTGCAAGCGTCCCGATGTAGAGAGACGGAGAATTGAAACCATGTCCATCGAGGCGAGGCGGGACGTGGTGGCAGTGATGTTGGGGCACGGGCGAACCTGTTCCGCTACCAACTAGAATTGGGCATGTTGAAAGTGGAAGATTTATTCCCGAAGCTGTAAAGCAATGTATAGCGTGTGAAGCGGGCGCGGTAACAGATCCTTGATATCCAATGGGGCAGCGGCAAGGACAGGGTGAAAGCAGACAAGGCAGGAGGGCCTACTGTTCGAGCCCTGGGCGCAAGAGGGGCGCCACAGGAACAACCATGGAGGGACCTGAGGAACAGCGAACTTCTTACCAACTCCGGTTGCTTCTTATGTCAGCGCACTGTCGTGAAGAAGAGGAAGAAGAGAAATGAATAGTACGAATTAATAATAATAGTTATGGCAGTAGTACGAATAACCATTTAAATCATCAAGACTACAAGAAAATATAATGATAAGAATAGTAATCAGGAAAGATGGATAGAGGGAGATCTGGGGAGGGAGGAGGAAGCATGATGAGGTAGATTGAAGACCGAAGAGGCACTTGAGAGCCCTGGAGGCCGCAGGTAAAGAGTTTCCTTTGACCGAGCCGGAAAAAAAAAACACGCATAATTACAGCTTTGACGAATTCGACCACCCCCAAACTTTGGAGTCCCGAAACGGTGCAGTGACAAACCGTGCCGTGACCTCGAAATCCCCCAAGACCTCACCGCACGGTCCGTCAACGCACGGTCTTGGGACCCGGGCCCGGAAGCCCCAGTCGCCCGAGACGTCCTCGGAGAACGACCCGAGTCCCAAAACCGTGCGATGACCCCGAATCCCCACCGACTCACCACACGGTGTGGTCACCACACCGTTTGGGGGCCCCCGACAGACATCCGATGTTTCGATTTCTTCGATCCGGGGCCCCCGGTCTCCCGACCCTCTCCCGGGAGCCCGCGTCTGGCCCCGAGACGTTTTTTTGTTGTTGGCGGTCCCTGGGGCCCGGCGAGGGACCCCAGAGACAGAAAACGACGAAAAGCCGCCGCCTTGATTTTTTGACGAGACTGAGTATCGTTTAACCGATCCCCATCCCCAGAGGCATGGCCTGGGCCCCACTGGCCGATTTACCCCCCACGATGGGGATTTAGGTCGTTCCCTTCGGGTTTCGAGGGGTGTATCCCCAACTGGGGTGGTAATTTGGTGGGGGTCTCCAAGGGGATGGGGATGGGGATGGGGATGGGGATTGGTTAAACGATACCGACAGACGTGACAGCCGCGCCTGCACGGCCACCCAGGGCTCGCCGAGGAGGACAGGGGCAGCGGCGGCCGCGGGCTGCGCGGAGCACCCGTCGTGGCACGGGGAGGCGGGCTCCTGAGGCACCGGCACTGCCCCTCGTCCCTTCCCCTCCTCCTCCTCCTCCTGCCCACCGTCCCTTCCCCTCCTCCCTTCCCCTCCTCCTCCTGCCCCTCCTCCTCCTCCTCGCCCCTTCCCCTTCCCTCTCCTGCCCCTTGTCCCTTCCCTCCTCCTCCTCCTGCCCCTCCTCCTCCTCCTCCGCCCCCTCTTCTCCTCCCTCCCCCCTCAAGCGTCTGGACCGAGCGGTGGACAGCCAGTGCCGCGCCACGCCCCGACGCGCCGCCCACCCGCGGGCCGCCACTGGAAGCAGGCGCCGTGCCTGCCCTTCCTCGGCGACCTCCTCAGTCTTAGCCTCGGAGGCCTCGACCAGAGCCCTCCCATCCCATTCCTCCTCCTCCTCCTCCTCCTCCTCCTCCTCCCCTCCTCCTCAATCTCCCCTTTTCCCGTTCCTCCTCCTCTCCTCCTCTTCCCGTTCCTCCTCCTCCTCCTCCTCCTCCTCCTCCTCCTCCTCCTCCTCCTCCTCCTCCTCCTCCTCCTCCTCCCCCTCCTGCACCATGCGCAGCGTAAGCTGCGGGCGTGGGATCCAAGGCTTACACCCCCAGACAACGTCGGAGCAAGAATGGCGAGGCATCATCACCCTCAGCAGCAGACGCGCTTGTCGACGACTCCCCCGCCGAAAGCGTACGTTACGAGGCTCCTAGAAGGTCACTTCCCTCCGCCGATGGATCAGCGTGCGCACCACAGGCAGTTCCCCCGCACGCCTGCGCGCATAGGAACAGATTCTCTTTGTTGGTGCCAGAACTGCAGCCGCCAGTGTCGAGCGCACGGGCATACTTGCCCAGTCCGTTTCCCTCCCCAGGAGGCACAGGGCTCTGGGCCTGTAGCGTTCTCACAGGCTGCCCCTCCGCACCTCGACGTCATTTGCGGCCTGGGCAGTTCACCAAGGCATCCTGGCGCCCTCCCCAGAAGTCCTCAGCAACGGGGTCGCTGCTCCGCATGTGTCCCAATCCTCGGCGGGACGCCCGTCGGAGTCGCAAGAGCCAGAAGTCCAACATGACCCAGCAGGCTCCAGGGCAGATGGGCCTCCAACCGAGAGCGTCCAACAAAGATACTATGGCTTCGGAAGCGGCGGCCACCCGTAAAGCGACACCCAAGGCCACAGCAGGCACGCCGCCAGGGCCGCCGCCGCAGGCTCAGGAGCGACTCGTCGAGATCATCGACCCATCGCCTAGCGGCCAGGGCCCTGCAATTGCGGTTTCTGCCCTCCAGCCCCTTTTCAACCCGCCGTCCCCAGCTCTTCCTCGCAGCACCTAGTTGGGGGCCTAAGATCAAAGAATCAGCATCGGCTTTCATTTTCAAGACTCTCCTGGACTTAGATCCAAAAGATATGCCGTCAGCGCCGCTTTCCTCGATCACCCCGATTAAGTGCAGCAACACTCGACACGGATCCCGCCTCCGTCTGATCCGGAGCAGCTCGAAAAGCACCCTCAAGCCCGCAAGTTGGCAAAGGATGCTCTGATGTTGCACTACCACTCGGCGTTTCTACTTGGCCGCTCTCAAAAACGTTTCTCGGAGATCCGAAAAGAAATTGATATAAAAAAACGCCTTTAGCGAAACGTGGTGTAACGAAAACGACCTCAGGCCCGAACCTGCCGGGCGCAAGCCTGCAAAAAAACGGCCGCGGCGCCCTCTCGAGAATCGAAAACGGACAATTCACGAATCGACGCGTCAGGGTGGGGGGTCCGTAGCCTCTGACTCAGAACCGCCCGGGCTCGAGCCCGCCCCTGGCCAGGTGCGGTGCTCCGGCCCTGGCACGCTGGAGACCGCGGCGGAGCGGCGACGGCGGCAGGCCCGCGCCGCTGCCGGTCGCCGCTTGGCTGCCGCCGCCGCCGGCGCACCGGCCGTCGCGGGCCCGCCGGGGCTCCCTGGCGCCGCTGGCGCGGCTGGCGACGCTGGCGCGACAGGCGCTGCCGCTCGCGGCGGCGCGCTGGCTGCTGCGAGCGCTTCCGGCGCGGCTGGCGCCGCCGCCTCGGCCTTCGCTGCCGACGCCCGGGTTGCTCGCCCCCTCGCCCCCGCGGGCGCCCCGGGCGCTGCCGACGCCCCCGGGCATGTCGGCGCGGCCAGAGTGCGCCGTCCTGCTGGCGCCCCCGGCGCGGCCGGCGCCCCCTCGGCCGCCGCCGCCAGCGCCGCCGACGCCCCCCAGGCGGTCGGCGCGGCCAGCGCGGCGTGGCCGCCCGCTTCGGCGGGCAGCGCGGGCGCCGCCGACGCCTTCGGGAGCGCTGGCGCTGCCCGCGCCATCCTGTGGGCCCCTGCGCCCAGTGCCGCTGGCGCCGCCGACGCTGCCGACGCCGCTGGCGTTGGCGCTGTCGGCGCTGCCGGCGCCCCAGGCGCGGCCGCCGCTGCTGCTGCCCGCGCGGGCCTGTGGTTGGCCGCGGCCAGGCTGGCGCTGGCCGCCGAGTTCGCGGCCGCCGACGTCGCGGCGCACGCCGACGCGCACGTGGACGAGGAAAACGAGGAGGACGCGGGGAAGGACTCGGGGCACGACGCGGAGAAGGCCGTCGCAGCTGGCGGGGAGGACGACGCGTACGACGCTGCTCTGGCGACGCCTAAATCCTCGACAGCGCTGCCGAAAGCATCGACGCCAGCATCCGCGGAACCCCGGCAGCACCATCATGACCAGCCTGGGTACCCTGCGGATTCGACGGCGGAGGGCATCGAGGAGGGCGTCGGGGAGGGCATCGAGGAAGTGAAGGCGGTGTCGGACGTGGTGGACGAGGAGGGGCAGTTCGTCGACACGAAGGCTGATTAGGCGGAAGTGGAGGTGAATCCGGGCAAAAGTCTTCGCCGCGGACGCGGACGATGAGGAGGATGAGGAAGAGGAAGTGGAGGCCCACGGCGACGACAACAAGGGATGCCAGGGCCCGGTCGAGGTTGCCTCGAAGCTGCCCGGGGGCGCGCGCGACATCGAGGAAGGCAGCGGCGTCGGAAACCAGCGGGTCATGCCTGGGCCTTGCACGGGCTAACGGGAGACCTCCACCTCACGCGTGCTCGCCGCATTCAGTCGCGCCCCTGGACCTGGCAGCGATGGCGGCGACACAAAACAGGGGCCCCCCCCTGAGCCTCACCAGGGCCCTAATGGAACCTCCATATCCCCCGTCCTCGCCGCATTCCGCGGCTCCCCTGAACCTGGTAGCAATGGCGGTGTCAGACACCAGCGGGCCGAACCTGGCAGCCATGGCGGAATCAGAAACCAGCGGGCCCCCCCCCGAGCCTCACCAGGGCTCAGAGGAGCATCAATTTCACCCGTGCTTGCAGCGTTATACTACACGTCGGCTTCGAATCTTGCGTCGAATACACATTTCACGTCGTCGTCAAATTCTATTACATTAAAATATTCATTCGACGTCGACTTCAAATTGAAAGTCAAATACCATTCTACGTCGGTTTCAAGCTTTTACATCAAATACTCGTTCCACGTCGGTTTCAGACACTATGTCTACTGCTCATTTGACGTCGGATTCGAATGTTACGTCAAATACACAATCCACGTCACCTGTTACGTTCAATACACAATCCGTCGGCTGTCCAGGGGAGCGTCCGAGGGCGGCAGGGGGGCAACTTAAAAGAATGCCCCAACCCGCGGCCAGCTTTTCCAACCATCCCCCGGGGCGCCGCCGACGCAACGCGACCCTGGTCATTTATTCATCGCCATCCCACACTAGCAACGGTGGCGTCAGAGACCAGCGGGCCGACCTTGGTAGCTTTACACCCATTATCGCGGCATCCCGCTGCGCTCTCAATTGCGACGCGTCGGAGGCTAGCGTCTGTTCACCTGGCAGCGTGCTCAGCGCCACGGAAGGCCCTGGCGGCGTCAGAAACCAGCGGGCCGAACCGGGTGGAGATGGCGGAATCAGAAACCAGCGGGTCTCCCCTGAGCCTCACCGAGCTCAGGGGAACCCCCATGTCACCCGTGCATGCCGCTTTCAGCGGTGCCCCTGGACAGAGCAACGACGGCGGCGCAGGCCCCTCCCACTCCGCCGCAGGCCCCCGAGCGCACGCCCACTGCAGGCGACGCCGCGCCGCTACTTGGGGCACACCTGGTCAGAGCCCCGTCGCCGCGCTGAGGGCCCGCTGCGAAAGGCCGCCACCCAGAGGCGCGCGGGCCAAAGCGTCCGGCAGCGGCAGTCCTCCTGGACCGCGAAGTGGCGCACTGTCTGGCAGACCAGAGCCACCTGTCCAAGGCTGCGATGACACGCTGGCGCCAGAAGGGGCAGGGAAACCTTCACCGCCGGGATCGAGCGCGGACCACGGACGACCAGGTCGACAGAAACCAGAGTGCTCATGGTGACGCCGTACCTGGACAGCCCTCTGGTCGAGGTGGCCCACCCAGTCCACCCTGGAAGCCAGGGGGCCCTTTCCCCCCCCATTGTCGCGACGATCGCACCCGGTGCCGTTACTCGCCCTGAAAAACCCTCGTCGCCGCGGCCAGATAGCGGGGCCCAGCAGCGCAGCCTAGTTTTCTCGCCCATATCCACGCTCCGCGGCGCCACGGAGAGGCAGGATGGAGGAGAGGAGGGAGGCTCGGGGGGCCCCGCCCCCCACGGCCCCCCTCGCCGACGTCGCACCCGTTTGGGCCCGACCGAAGTCAGAACGCCGATTCTCTCGCTGCCACAGCCACATATCGCGGCACCTCCAGCACCCCGGGGGGGAGAGGGGGACCCGGACCGGGACTCGAGTGGCACCGCGCGGGCGACATGGCCCCACGACCCCAGCACCCTGCACGGCGCATGTCGCACGGCTCCTGCGATCGCCCGCCAGGGCGCACCCTGCGCACCAGGAGGAGTGGAGGGGCGAGATGAGGAGGGGGAGCGTGCATCTGCTCTGGCGCCGCGCCCGTTTGGGCCAGGCGCTGGACCAGAGTCCGCGGCGGCCCCGCCACAGCCCCTGGTCTCGACGGCCCTCGGAACCACGGCTTCCAAGGAATCGACTGCCTTGTCTCCAGGACCTCCACGCGGCTC